TTAACCGCTTCCTAGGTGCTTTACAACAGATCAGAGCACAGTCAAGGCTTCTTTATTTGTTCTGTAGTAAGGAATCCACTAAATTCCCAACGCGTTCCTTTCAATTTTCAAAACAAAATCTATTTTCAAAGCGAGCAATAGTGGCGGTCAGCGTGCTCTATACTCTGATGAACACGCTACAATAAGCCAATCAGAATACGTGTTAGAATGGTTCAAATAATCTGATTGGTTGAGCAGGAAACGAAATTTTGCTTATGACTATTTGTATGGCAAGCCCTTGTGTAATCAAGGCTGTTACTTTATCGCAGTGAACTAAACGTTAGAAAAAAAAAAAGCCAAAAGTGGTATTGGGCAGTCGTGAATTAAAACATTTTCACGATTTCCGTTATTTAGAGAAAGGAGAATTATTGCAAGCCAAATTGCTCCATTTTCTTTTGGCTGTTTATTACTGAATGTAAAGAATTTCGAGCTACTTCGGTTTCTGGATTTGCTAAACAGGAAAAATATGCAATTAATTGATGTCGAGCAAAGAATTAGAAAGTTATTCTGTATCGGTGTGTTGCAAATTGACAGAAAAAATTTATTCAAAAATTCGATGGGCAGATCTATTTTGAGTTTGATGTAGTTTTCTTTTTTTTCACGAAAAAAAAACGTTTTTCCTCCCAAAATGGCAACGAGAACGGAACGAGACTCCAAAAATAGGGAAAGAGCTTCGGAAGGGTCAGCGAAACAATCTTACCGATAAACAAAAAGTTGATGACCTCCTTAACAACGGAGCGCCTCCGAACTTCCGAGATTCCGATGAAACGCGGGTACTGCACATATTGTAAAGATTTTTAATAGTATCTCTTGCTTAGTATTGTCGATCTCTACTTCTTAAGTTGTATGGAACAAAAGCCTCTACTCATCTGCTGAAAACGAGACTAAAGTGGCTATTTTATGGCGACTGGTCGACAGTTAGTTGTCATACATGATTGTTTCAAGACAAAATCCATGTCTATGTCTAAGCCTATGTTGAGTCGATTATTAAAAGCGCCAACATCGTGTTGAACCAGTATTACTTCGACACGAAAATTAATCATTGAAATCTTGCAAAATAACAGAAATTAATAGCCTTATTGTATTCAGTTTCCTGCCCGATACTGAATTGCGAATTCGCGTCGAGTAGAGAGTATATTTGCTCAAACGAAGTAAAACTCGTATGAAGACAAGGCGTAAATGTGGAGGTATAAATGAGGGTAAAATATGAAAAAATATAATGAATAAGAAACAGTTGAAAACAAAAATGACAGGTGTTCCTGGATGAAATTGAAATACAAACATGAGCACATTTATACCAAATCAACTAAATAATGAATGTTTTCTATAATTGTTTCACAATGACTCTGTTATCGATAACGAAATTCTCGCGAATACAATCAACACAGAACAAAAAGCAGACTCAATAATAAATAAGTTAAAGACGTGAGAGAAAGCTGATTGATTATTCGAACTAGCCATTGAAATAAATAGAAAGGGAAGAATCAGTTTGCATATATCACTTTTAAGAATAGAGGTCTCCTACCTCAAAAATATTTCGATAACAAAAAAGAACTGAATGTACTAATCCTCAAGACTTATCTGATGCACTTCCCTTTCATACACACACTCTATCTCAGCCGAATTTTGATAATTGATGGATTAGTGAGATATTAGCGGTGACACTAGCATCGTCTTTTCATTAAAATCGTAATAAAGAAACATAAATATTACCGTCGTAGATCGTTTGCGTCTCTCAGGAGGTGGCATCACACGCACTATAACTATTACCAATGCAAAATTAAGTGTCAAATGTCGCTCATTTACAGGCATCTGAAATTATAAGTTATTTCAACGCTCTTAAAGATACCTATAGCTTCTAGGACCCTGGATGAACCATTAATCTACACGTACATACTAAATTTTTTATTGCAGCTGTTGAATGCCACTGCGGGGTGTGTTAAGGGGATATTGTTAATCATGTTGGAGTGGTTTTGCCATCTTTTACAATAAGTTCGTGGGTGATCAAATCCTACGACAAGACCATTCATCATACTTTAATACCAAACGATAAATAAGATTCACTGACTCTTTAACTTTTAAACTCTCTTTAAATGAAGAATAATACATGAGCGCGCGTTAATATATACATAAATATGAAATTTCTCTTCGAGTGTTTTACTCGATAGCTTACGAGTGAGCGCAGCGAACGAGTGAGATGTCAAGGTGAACACGAGCATAGAAAATCCATATCTACAAGCAACCATGTATTACTTTTGTTTATCATATAAACATAATAGCCCTATATTTTTTTTTCAGAGGGCACGGTAACGAATCCGCTAATCTGATTGGTTCTTTACTCGGTCAGTATTTTCCTCTCTTTGCCCACGGGCAACGGTAACGCTTTCGTGAGTCGCCGAGTACATCCCTTCATTCGTTGCCATTTTTCATAAATATATCTCCTTTTACCGGCTGGGCAGTATTTTTAAGCTAAGTCGTCGGTCACCACCTCAAGCCGATAAATAACTTATTAATCCTCTCTTTTCTCTCTTTCAAGTCACTTTGGTTGACAGAAAAATTTTTGTTTCAGAATGACTTTTTTGTACAAGCAATAGTGTCATCACGTTGGTTGACAGGTGGCCTAAAAGCCGTCTGCAATTAATCGCTCACAAAAAGTACCTAGAAAGTTAAAACGTGAGATATTTGGTTACAGTTGAACTAATCGATGGAACTTTCATTCATTTAATATCTGAATTTTCTAAAACAATTTGTTCGTAGTGAAAAGGCGAGCGAAGTTTTAATTTCAGTTCTACCACAAATATACGCTCTCGGTGAATCTTTTCAAGTCCGTTTAATTTGGACATTTGTACCGTAAATTGCACAACAGAAACTTAGGGATTCAACGAGAAAAGGCCGCATTAAATCCCCTTCTGTCTCGTTGGGGTGTATCATCCGAATTTAGTTTTTGTGTAGGAAAGACCAGATTTTCACACGCCATAGCAGCAAACAAACGAGAAAACTCTCACAACTTCGAAACAAAATATTTGAATTTACTTACAATTACTTTCCTCGCCGATTACTCAATGAACAGAGGTAAATCTTCGTACATGAATTAATCGTCGATGAGAGTGAATAATACTTTCTAATAAGTTTTTCTCGGACCTCCCAGCCGGCAAATAACATATATTTATTAACGAGAAAAGTCGACTTTATTAACGACTGAAAATAAAACTTTGGACGAATCCGTATAAGAAAAGGTAAAGTGGGTTAGCGTTTAAGCCGCATTCAAACGGTCACGATAGTTGATGATAATTTCAACTTTCATTCACTATCATTCACTCATTCAGTATCATGTTTGCGCTCAAACGGTTCGTGGTAGTTGAAAAAATCAAGCAATAATATCGCGTAATTATAAACAAATATGGTGCGCGCTGAGGTCAGCAATTTCGGTGGCATTGAAAATTTTTTAGCGAAGAATTTGCCAGTTAAAGATACTGAAACCTACCAACAGATGATGAGAATGAGAACGGATGATGAGAATTTTTTACGTGTGTTGTTACGGCTTTTCTCAGGGCTTATCTCAGTACAACACCGTAGTTTATATGATAAATAAAACTATGTTGCTTTATCAATCATATGGAAGGAAATGAGAAAAAATTTCTTCAAAGGCAGCTTCACAATAAGTCGTTTTCTATAAGAATTATTAGTCTGTGGCATTCACAATCTTTAACTTCAGTGAAACCATAAGTTAACCTTGACAGCGAATGGTCGATGCTTGTTTCTAAACCTTTCCACTTAATTAATTGTTGGTTTAACAAAATGTTTGAAGTCCACTGAAGTTGACTGCAATTGAATTTTTACATCAAGCTCCCCTTTAGAAAAATTATAGTGTGGATCCTTTCCAAAGATTTTCCTGTGTAATGTGCAAACAAATTGAAATCTTTAGTGGGAAAAAAAAATTAAATTGAAACATTTACGAACAGTTTAGAAAGTAATATTGGTTGAAGCTATTTTTTAAACTATTAGTGCACCTGCAACACACAAGGATGAAGGATCCATTTATAACATAAAATAATTTGTAATTGAGAGAAATTCAGCCAATTTACTGAAGAGTAATTATAAAAATTGATCAAGCCCAAAACTCAATGATATTTTTTAGGCAACTACGATAGTGAATACTATCCGATCCTACGGCCTTCAAGGGAGAGCGGAGGGAGTTAATGATAAACGGCGAGGAAAATGATTCATAAATAATATGTACCTTGAGTTTCACACATAGAAAAGTACCAAATATATCATAGAAGCAAAATATCTGTAAACTCGCGTCTGAAAACGCGTATTAGCATTTAAAAACGGGAAAAGTAAACTGTAAAGCGGAAGAAATCATCATGTTATGACTTTGAGCTCTTCAAAGCAACCTAAGCCTAGTTCAAATCGAAACGCTACGAGTGTTCCGAGTTGAGGTATGTTACAGCTTAGTGATAAACAGGTTGCTGAGCAAAATTCAAAATGTTGGCGCCGTTTTCGAATTTAAACACAATTGATACTAGTTTTCAAATCGCCATATATGCCATAAAATGGATGGAGATTAACGTTGACGGCCTTCTAAAGCAGAAAAGTTCTCTCTAGTCAGTAGTGTAACCACTCACTTAGTTCCTATTGTTGTTAGATATTGTATTATGATCTCCCACAACAACAGTCTGTGCTTCTTTGACGTCCACATGTACGGTTGAAGCTATAAAAAATAATAAGAAAAAAACATTAACCAATAAATAGAATGCTTAAACAGTGCATGGCATCATAGTAGCGGTTTCTTTGTCTTAAGGTGAGCGTCTTCATTCTTGGACCACGTTAAAAGGTGCTAACTATGTCGTTTGTGAGTGTTTGTTATTGATAAAAAGAAAGATCCAATCAAGTTAAGTGAAGTAAACCCGTTCTCAAGTATTCAAATAAGATGACGGAGTCCCATAATTCAACTGAAACTAACCTGGTGACACATTGATTGTTAAGCTGGATGGGCCATCAACAAAAAGTTGATCAGCAACTTGGTCATTTTTCAAATAACTTGCAACTTTGCTGAGTTCTTTTATCTTAGAGGTTTCACTTTTCGTAAGCATTGCGCCAGTGTCTTCAGGTCGTTCTTCTCTCAATCTCCTCTCAACAATATCGAGTGCTGTTTCCTTCCCCTTGAGGAACGAGGACCCAATCAGGAAGAGACAAAAAGGCATGGTCAGAAATTGAAACATCTAAATCGTCCAGGGGAATGAGCTTATCCCAGCTTTCTTAGCATGGTTTCACAAAAAGTCTGCTAGTACTTATTAATACGAGATCGAAACCTGCATTGCTACCGCAGTTTATGAACACTAAGGAATCCGTCGTCTTTATTTATCATCGCGGGGAAGTCACCCGATTTTGGTTGTGTCGTGTGCGTAATAACATTTACCTGAACTACCAGTCTCCCCCTTACCCCTTCCCCGATTGGCAAACAATATTCTTCGGTCCCCCCCCCTCCCTTACTGGCGATAAAAAAATATCTGATCCCTTATTTGTTTATCCCATAATGCCCCTGTGCCGGTATAAAAGAAGCGAGTTACACTAATTCAGGATCATCACAAATTACATTTTTGGGGTTTTACGAATGTATTTATGCTTATTAGCTTCCTACGAGCAAAAAGCAATATATTTTAGGCAGCACTGAGTTGGTCTGATTTTTTCCATTGAATTGTGTAAAACTATGGATTTTGTAAAACTTTGGAAGAAATCCCTGGTCACCCTCATAAATATTATCAAAATACGCATTAAGCTAACGCTTTACAGTATCCTTACATGGCTTGTCTTGGTGCGGTCAGCTGGACTACGCGGATTGTTTAAAAAATTCTCCACAGCCTTCGAGTATCCTTTTTCAACTGCCAAGTGAAGGGGCGTAAAACCAAACTAAGATGTTAAGAGAAAAATACATTTGTTGGTATGAGGTAACATAGGATAAGCGACGAAGAAGATATGATGAAGCTAGACAGGAGAGAGACAAGCAAGTATGATGCATGTACATCTGCCAACTCAAGTATATGCCTTCGAACTTAGTGAAAACACCGATCTCACGCGCCAGCTCACGCCTGTCCAACAATTTTTTACGCCTGGCCTATCACAGCCTTGACTGACACAAGCTATACGAACAAAAATTATAATAATGTACAGTGGAATAGACTAGAGTCAGAGGACCAAAGTCCGTGCAATTGTCCGTAAATACATGTCTCTGGATGTGATCGAGTTCTCTACGCAAACGCTCGCGCTTTGAGGACAGAATTTTTCACGCCTCTAATTCAAAAGAGGATTATAAATTGTCTATTAAAGGCAGAATGATTAGGGAAAAATGCAAGGGAGAGGGAAGAAAGATACAAGATAGGGCGTGGGGACGATAGAATGGAAAAAGTTTAGTAAAACCCAAACTGCCGTATCTGGTGCCATGGTGAAGCTCGAGTGTGAGTTTACATTTCAATGGAGTGAGAGGTGGTCAAGTAGTGCTGGGGGAATGAACGAGGCTGAATAGAAGGAAAAGGGGAAGGAAGGATTGAAGTAATTAGGCAAACTTATGGTGGATTACTAGGAAGTAAGGAATATTTGAAGGAAAGAAGACAATTATGGGCAATATAACAGGAAATAAGATGCAGCCTGAGAAGAATAGATGAAAAATGATTTACAGAAATGATAGAACTTAGAAAGGAGTGTCGAGGACTGATAATGCTTCGAAAATAATGCATAGAAAATATCATTAACATACAGAATCACCCAGGTTGGTTTTAGCTCCATGTTCTAACAGCATGTTGACGAGCTCCATATCACCCTCTCTTTCAGCTACAACAAGATGAAGAGGAGTCCATTTTGTCTGCAATGTTTTACAAAATTATATCAGTACACGTTCTAACACCATGTTGACAAGCTCACGCTTACTTTCACTTACAACAAGATGAAGGGGACTCCAGTTTGTCTGCAAAGTTTTACAGAAAAGAAAAATTGAACATTATTCTTCCCTCACCATAATCACTAAGGCCACAAACTTTTACAGATAATTTAACCCTTTAACCCCTAAGAGTGACTAGCATCTAAATTCTCCTTACAATATCACCCCTGAATCACACATTAATGTCATGAGAATAAAGGAAATGATCACCAACAAAAGAAACTCTTGATTGTTAGACAAACTCTCCTTGTCTATGGACTATACTCTCCTTGTCTAGGACCTTCTCTCCACGTGCATGAGTATAGTTTATGCCTGTAATTCTAATCGATATATATATATATATATATATATATATATAGATGAATGTGGGGGTAGAGTCTACTCTGGCATTAAGCGCTCAATGTTGTGGTAGCAGAGCTAAGTATACATAAGTTAAAGAATTAAAGAGGACGCATCGATTCTCTACATGTATGTATGGAGAATATGGAAAATATAGATACTAATTAATACTCATGTAATTAAAAAATATTTTAAATATTTGGCACTTTATGCCAAGGTAGACTCTACCCCCACATTCATAAATATATCTATATATATCGGTTAGAATTACAGGCATAAACTAAACTCATCCACGTGGAGAGAAGGTCCTAAAGTCTGCATGTTCGGTCTATATCATCATAAATTTTCATGCACAATGTTGACATAGTAATCTTGAAATTCGAGGTTGCAGTTCTAAAATTCAAGATGTAAAGCTGAGCTAAGACAAAATAACTTGAAAAAATATCGGCAATTGACGAGCCGGAAATCAAACTGGAGCTTGTTTTGATCAGAGAAGTGTTTGGAGAAACAGTAAACAGTTGCAATTCACGTCGCTTAAAACGCGTGACTGAAATCGACCATGAAATAAATAATGTTATTTTAGATCCTGATACTTTTTTTTTTAACCCCAAACTAGATGTAATTCGAATAACTATAGAGATTGAACTACGAAAGTAAGCTTACAATAGCAACTGGCCATCGTAAAATCGAAAATTAAAATACGGGAATTTTCCCGGAAACTGAAATGTGAGCTCGACGACTTCAAAATCTAAAATATATTTACGTATGATGTAACAATTTTCTGAATTCAAAACCTAGCAAAATACAAAGTAAAAAGCCAAACTAAAGGTCTCTAACGAATGTATGCGAATTTGCACTGTGTTATTTTTAGTGTAATGCTGGTTTTTCAACTAATTAAGGGGTTGATGAACGATGCGAAATTGCTCATAACAAACTCACAACTACAAAGTCCGTTGACTAAAATTAGGAGTGTGTTTACAGCGAAACAAATGCCGAATTTTTGTCAAATTCGCATGTCTCATCTTCTCATATGTCAAGCTTTGGTAATGTCGGAATTTTTGTAAGGTTGAAAAGCAGCGGAACAAATTGTACAGTAGAATCAAAATGATTTTGAAGACTCAGATGGATTTTGTCTTGAAACAATCATGTCTGACAACTAAATGTCGACCAGTCGCCATAAAATAGCCACTTTAGTCGCGGTTTTAACAGGGGAGTAGAGGTTTTTGTTACATACAACTTAAAAAGTAAAAATCTAAAATACTGAACAATAGATACTATTAAGAATCTTTACAATATGTGCAGTTTACCTCCGTTTTATCGGGATCTCGGAAGTTCGGAGGCGCCCCGTTGCTGAGGAGCTCGTTAACTTTTTCTTTGTCGATAGGATTATTTCGCAGAGCCTTCCAAAGCTCTTTTCCTTTGCGAAACATATCTTTGGAATCTCCTTCTTCCGTTCTCGTTGCCATTTTGAGAGGAAAACCGCGAAAATTTTCGGTAAACCCGTCACAACAGCTACTCAAAAGAGAGAGGATCTATTTTCGTTCAGCGCGTGGTCGAGAGACTGTGTCAACAATTGGTCACATGGTCGTGAAAAAAAAAAAAACATCAAACTCAAAATAGATCTATTGAATTTTTTTTTCCGTTAATTTGCAACACGCAGATACCGAATAACTTGCAAATTCTTTGTCTGACATCGATTAATTGCCTATTTTTCCTGTTTAGCAACTCCGGAAATATCTCGAAATTATTTACATTTAGTAAGAAACAGCTACAAGAAAATGAAGCAATTCAGCTTACAATAATTATCCTTTCTCTAAATAACAGAAAATCGTGAAAATGCTTTAATTCCCGACTGCCGAACTCCCCTCCTAAATTTTCAGTTCAGCGAAACACTACTTGTTACAATGTAGTTGCAACTTCCTGCAGGACTGTCGTGACTTTTTTGTCGAGCAGCGACAAGCGCGAGGTGAACGTGAGAAGCCAGTCACGCACTTCCTGTTTTTATTTTGAATATTTGGAACTGCACAATTTCATTTCCTTGCCCTTGAAACTTGAAACTCCTCAAAGGAGACTATGCATCCGCAGGAATGAAAGCTCGACACAAATAAAATGGAAAAACTCAATACACGCATTGATTTGTAATAACATACGATCAGAACTAAATTACTGTAAGCCACTGTGGTCGTTAGGAATGATGCCGTTAATGAGGGCTTCTATAAGCCTATCCGACTACTAATTTGTAAACGCTTAAAGACGTCTTCTCAGACATACATATCCCTCGCAGTATCCGAATTCCAGCGTCCATGAAGTTTAAGTAACCTTTCTAATAGATTAGGATTGTTACTAACAGCAGAGGTAGCGCCTCCGAATCATAAACTATGGAGGCCATACATTTTATGATCTAAACCGAGTTTTTTAAGGACAATCTTCCAAGATTTCCCTACACCTACTGTACGATAACTTCCCTCCATACAACTTGTACTCATTAGTAGATTTAAACAGTGCAACGGAGCTGGAGAGATTAATATCTTCCATTAAAATATACCTTTCTAAAAGTGCCACAGGACAATAACTGTCACTTAGCCTCTTGACATAAACATAATTCCCTCCCGGTAAATGTCATTCTTCGCCCTAGAAACAAACACCCTCAAGCATAGGTAATAGATGACATGCACGCTAAACCTCCTGTTCTCGTTTCAAATTGACTGTCATAAAGGCTGTCGGAAAGCGACAGTGCCTACAAAAACCGTTCAACCTTCAACTCAGGCCAGCGCTTCCTTTCGTTGTATATGTTGTGGTTTAATTTTATCCTTGGTTCAAATTTCATTTTCCTTAGTTTCAAACTTATTATCATACATTACAATACCCAAAAACAAAAGAAAATAAAATTTGAACCAAGAATAAATTAAACCACAACATATACACTCAAAGACGAGCGTCTCATGTCTCTTTTCCCTGCTCAATAAGTAAATAATCAGCTAAGCAGTACTGATGAAATTACCTAAAAGCACGAGAGGGAGAAGAGAATTTCATACGAACAGCCTTGACTAGTGAATATGCCACTACACAAAAACTAGTTGGTGTTCCGTCCATGATCTAATGCATCCTTAGTGTTGAACCTCTTATAATCCTCTGTGGAACTGGCAAATTTCTTGAAGATAATTGGCCAAAAAAATGACGATGGCCAGAAGGGTACAACAATAGTGGCTGTCGCCTTGGTAACAAAAAGATTGTGAATCACTCTTGAAATTAAGCTTACAGTGGAAACAACAAGGCGATTTTCGCCAACCAGATTTTGAACGAAATAAATCCACCCCTCTGCAGCCTGGATTCCAGAATCTAGAGACAAGTTTGCTGATCTTCCTGTTATTAAAACTAGCAAAGCAATCTACGATGTGAACCCCTCAGCGGGTATCTAGAGACGCGAAGCAAGCGGCTAAAATTTGCCAATCGTCTACATCAATAATGCGACTAATATAATCCGCTCTGGCAATTTCAGAACGAGGAATCCACTTGACTTCCAACGCAATGTTATAATCGACACAAAACTAAAAAATCTCCACGGCGATTAGGTGCAAATCGCTCCTCATGCTTCCCACTTCCACAATTTTATAAGCATTCTGATTATTAAAAATCCACTCCACGTAAGAACTTTAAGGAGAGGCAAAAACTACTACAGGGCGAACGAAATAGCTGACAGCTCCCTCCACGTGGAACCACAATCATCTGCATCCCATAACATATGACATACTTGTTCACCGTTGACATCTAAGTGAGCACCACACCCCGCGGCGCTAGCATCGGAATAAACTACGCAATTAGATGTTTTAGACGGACAATCCACTACTGACTTCAAGTTAAATCGTGTCAAACTTTCTATCCAAAACTTTAGTTCCTTAACATAGTTTTGATCCAGATGAAACTTAGAGTCCCAGTCCTGAGAGGACGCAACCGATATAGAACAGTACCTAGTCATAATTCGGGAAATGTTGCCAAAAACTGCCCCAGTGGAAATAATTTTATCCACGAGGGAAGTTAATTCCAGCGCCGAGACGAGATTACTTTTTAAAGGAGGATCCTATCAACAGATTCCGCGATGCTTAATTCCCGTCTGTTCGAAATACGAACGAGTATCTATATTATCCATAAATTTTACATCATCAATTTATACAATTTTACATATACTATCCAATATTGGCCCCATTAACTCTCCAGTATTTCTTCAATGTTTTGAAACATTTAGTGAAAATATAGGGGGCAGAGGATAAACCAAACGTTAGGACGGTAAACACAAAATACCTAAATGATAAAGCACCCGGGAATTTCCATATAAATCCCAAGAACGCCTGATGGTCCGGGTGAATGCCTACATGGTGGTAGCCACTCTTAAGATCGAACCAGATCATGTAAGTCCCCTTTCGAAAGTAAGGTAATGCAACCCTGAATAGCAAAAAATAAGGGCTTATGACGTACCGGGGACTAGTGACTTCTACTACCCTACCCAAGTGTAAGAGCTCCAAAACTGATTATACTACAAATTATGAGTGGTTTAAGGCTGACTTATTGTTTGTAGAGACATTCGCGGGCATTGCTTGCTCGAATGGCAACCGAATGGTAACCCTCGCTAAACACTGATAATATAAACTTAGGGGGCACCCATACTTCGCCAGAATTCTACATGCCTTCTAAGACTGCCCTTGACTTTTAATAGAATTAGAGGGTAGCGCAACTCGACATTCCTTAGCCCGGTGTCCTGGTCGATTGCCACGATAGCAGCAGCCGGGATTTGCAGCATACTCTGAACGGCATACAGATGAACACACGAAAAACATAAAAACCGAATTCAGGGCGGTTGGTGGGGAATTAAGGAACTTCAATGGAAAGCGAGAGCGAGAGAACGCGATAATACTCTGTAACGCCTTAACTACAAAAAAAACTACCCAATCATGAAACCCTAGGCGTGTCACAATAACCAACGAATAACAAGCTATAAAGATATAAGAAAACTGCATAGCAGCGGAAAATACATTTATGTTCTAACTCGCTACGCTCAAACGAACGTAAATTATTTTCCCTTCAATACTAGAAAGACACAACTACAACAGCTTGATGGTTGGTTGCTCAGGCAATCCAACCAACGCGAGACTTCACAAAGTAAAACAATAAGGGATCTTACCACGAAAAAGCTAATGCGAACTCAACTCGAATTGTTTCTATTTCCCTTAAACTTAATCGCAGAAGCTTCTTTGCGGTTTCCTCAAACTGTTTACCTTTTTCCTCTGATGAGGAAGTGAGGTTTCCGTTGAAAAGCGAGAAAACTTGGTTAACTAACTGAGAACTCGGGGTTTCAGGCTGCGGGGAAGATAAATTTATACCGGATAAATCTACTTCGGCGGCAGAAGACGTAGAATTTAGGCTGGAAAAAAACGGCTTCGGAGACAAACGACGTGGAACCATCTTGTGGCGTAGTCATATCACCGAGGTTTTACACCGGGAATGAATGAAGGAACGTCAGAGGAAAGCGAGAGCGAGAGGACACTATAATGTTCTGTAACGTCCTAAATACTAAAAACTACCCAATCGTGAAACCCTCAGAGACACGCCTAGCGGCGTGTTACACTAACCAACAAATAAGCGAGTGGCCACGTCAATGGAAACTTAGAAACGTCTCCCCTGCTCACAAGAATGACGACGAAACATCCAAGAAGAATTATCCCCCCATTAGTGTCTTGTATGTTACACCTAAGGTGTTTGAAAAACTAAAATTTGATCAATTAGACAGCGTATTCACACCGGTCTTTTCGGATATGTCAAGATTCCTGCGTGGGCATTCTCGCTGTTCCGCTTTATTTAAGCTAACTGATGATTGGCGCCCGGCTCTTGACAATAAAAAGGGACGTGGTGATGGTCGTTGTTGACCTCTCCAAAACGTTTGACACGATTTGCCATAATTTATTACTAGCAAAAATGAAAACTTACGACGTTCACGATTCTGCCATAAAGCTTGTTCAGTCATATCTGGCCGCTTGCAACGAGTAAAATGTCACGGGAAGGTGTCAGACCAGCTGCCTTTTCGCAATCGAGTAGCGCAAGGGAGCTTTCTAGGTCCGCTTTATTTAGTATATTTGTGAATGATATCAATTACTCAGCTGGATCTTCCTCCCTACGTCAACACATACACAACACGATATATAGTCCATGAGAGCCCCTGCACACTTGAATCTACATTGAATCAAGACATAGAGAGATTAACCTTCTGGTTCACTGCAAATTACCTGCAAGTAAACATTACTAAAACTCAGGTAATGACACCGTGGAAATCTCAGTACCCATCAATCTTTTTATTGTATCGAAATTTAAACCATTCTCAAGATTCTTGGCGTAACATTGGATCGGGATTTGTCTTTCAAGCCCCACACTGTAATCATGCTGAAAAAAGCGTAAGCTAAGATAGCCTCACTACGAAGGATTAGGCCCTTGGTTACTTCAGACGTTATGATTTCTCTTTATAAAGCTTACGTGCTACTGCAGCTAGGATACTGTTGCCCTCTACTTCTGGGCATATTGAAAGCCTTGAAAAATAACATCGAACGTACCAATCATTATCCGATCAAGACATTACTGAATCTAGGTATTTCGGCTACTAATGACTTTTGCTTAGCAATGGCTACTATGAACACGCTTAAGCAAAGACGTATCCCGCAATCGCTTATTCTATTTTTAAATGTTTTAAACTAGTTGGCCCAAATTATATCTCCCAATTTTTTTACACCTCGGTTAACTAAATACAATTTACGAGGCAGTGGCTTAAAGGTTGAGCAGCCTCCATATAACAGCCTTGTTATGCACGACTCCTATTTGTACATAATTGCCCACAAGTGGAGCCAGCTGTAACCAAATCCTCGACTACTTTAGCATAATTTCGTGCTCGCCTGAATAATGTTAATTTCACAGAGTGCCAATGTATAAACCGTCTTAAATAATAAAAAACGCGCCAAGTGCATTGTTGAGTTATATAAGCACGCGGAAATTTTTAAGAACACGAGAGAAGTGCGGAGAAACACGAGCTGAGGGCGAGTGCTTCTCGCACTTCTCGAGTGTTCTTAAAATTTCCCAAGGGCTTATACAACTCAGCAATGCTCGAGGAACAAGTTTTTTATTTCTTTTATAAAATGCCTCGTGAATTGCGCGCGCTCGTACTGATGACGCAAGCTGCGTGTATTATATCTCAAAAGTGCACTCGTCTATCGAGAGGCGCGTGCTTTATGAAAATATGATGAACTCGTTCAGACCAATTACAGTGCGCGCATTTCTCTGAACATTTTATGAGTAAATTGATCTATTTAGTTAGTTAATATTCGTATAAATATATATATTTTTAATATTTGTTTATGTATAACTCACATAACTTATCTTAGACGGTTAAGAATATATGAAGGTCATATAACTTATCTTGTTTTGTATTTTTAGTTTGTCGAGCGTTTTTAACAGGAGCCTCTGGCTCGGAAGATTGTGCAAACACTTCCCACGTCTTCGACAATAAATAAACTATTCTATTCTTTGGATGAAGCTATTTAGTTTGCCATTAGTACACCTGCAAAAGACAAGGATGAAGGATCCATTTATAATATAAAAACGATTTGTAACTGGGAAAAATTCAGCCCTATTTATAGAAGAGCAATTAAAACAATGATCAAGCTCAAAACTCAATAATATTTAAGCAACTACGACAATGATAACTATTCGATTCTGCGACCTTCAAGGGAGAATGGAACGAGTAAATGATGAACGGTGAGAAAAATGATTTATTAAAAACATGTACCTCGAGTTTCAGCAAAGCATAAAATCATAGAAGCAACTCATGTCTGAAAACGTGCATTAACATTTGAAAATGGGAAGAGTAAACTGTAAAACGGAAGAACTTATCTTGGTATGACTTTGGGCTCTTCAAATCCACCTAACTCGCTCTCTAGTTCAAATTGAAACGCTTCAGAGTCAAGGTATGTTACAGGTTAGTGATAAACAGATTGCGAAGCAAAATTCAAAATGTCGGCGTCGTTTTCAAATTTAAACATTATTGATACAGTTTTCAAATAGCCATATATGCCATACAACGGTGGAGATAACGTTTACGGCCTTCTAAAGCAGTAAAGTTCTCTCTGGTTGGAAGTATAACCACTCACTTAGTTCCTATCATCGTTACGTATTGTATTATGATCTCCCACAACAAGAAGACGTGCTGTTTCGACGTTCAAATTTACGGGTGAAGCTATAACAAAAAAACAAACAAACAAAAAATTGATAAATAAAATGCTTAAACATTGCATGGCATCACAGTGGCGGTTTCTTTGTCTTAAGGTGAGCGTCTTCATTCTTGGACGTTAAAAGGTGCTAACTATGTCGTTTGTGAGTGTTTGTCATTGATGAAAAGAAAGACCCAATCAAGTTAAGTGAAGTAAACCCGTTCTCAGGTATTTAGATAAGAGTCCTATAATTCAACTGAAACTAACCTGGTGGCACATTGATTGTTAAGCTGGATGGGCCATCAACAAAAAGATAATCAGCAACTTGGTCATTTTGCAAATGACTTACAACTTTTTTGAGTTCTATAAGCAAAGCGTCTTCAGTTCGTTCTTCTTTAAATCTCCTCTCAACAATATCGAGTGCTGTTTCCTTCCCCTTGAGGAACGAGGGCCCAATCAGGAAGAGACAAAAAGGCATAGTCAGCAATTGAAATATCCATATCATCTGTGTGGAAAGAGCTTATCCCAGCTTTCTTAGCATGGTTTCAAGTAGTACTTATTTATACGAGATCGAAACCTGCATGGCTGCCACAGTTTACGAACACTTAGGGACCCGTCGTCTTTATTTATCACCGCGGGGAGGTCACACGATTTTGGTTGTGTCGCGTGCACAATAAAATTTACCTGAACATCCCCCCGTTAGCAGTCAAATTTCTTTGGTTCCCCCCTTTCTCTCCTCCCCCCCCCCCCCCCCCCCTTGCTGACGATAAAAAATGACTGGTCCCTTACTTGTTTATCCCATGATGCCCCCGGCCCCTACCCGGACAGCTGTACTGACATAAAAGGAGCAATTTACACTGTTTCAGGATCATCACAAATTAATTAATTTTTGGGGGGTTTTACGAATGTATCTATGACTACCAGCTTCCTACAAGCGGAAAGCGAGATATTTTAAGCAGCACTGAGTTGGTCTTTTTTTTTCCAATGAATTTTGTAAAACTATTTTGTAAAAATTTGGAAGAAGTCCCTGGTTATCATCATGAATGTTATCATTATCGAATTAAGTTAATGCTTTACAGTATCCATACATGGCTTGTCTTGGTGCGGTCAGCTGGACTATGCGGATTGTTTAAAAATGTCTCCACAGTCTCCGAGTATCCTTTCTCAGCTGCCAAGTGAAGGGGCGTTAAATCAAACTAAGATATTAAAAGAAAAAATACATTTGTTGGTATGAGGTAATAAGCGATGAGGAAGAAATGATGAAGCTAGAGAGGAGAGAGACGAGCAAGTATGATGCATGTACATCTGCCAACTCAAGTAAATGCCTTCGAACTCAGTGAAAACACTGATCTCGCGCACCAGCTCACGCCTGCCCAACAATTTTTTCCGCCTGGCCTAAAAGATGGAATAATCACAGCCTTGACTGACACAAATTATACGAACAAAAATTATAATAATATACGGTGAAATACACTAGAGTCAGAGGAGATGACCAAAGTCCGTACAATTACGCGTAAATATAAGTCTCTGGATGTGATCGAGTTCTCTACGCAAACGCTCGCGCTTTTAAGGACAAAATTTTCACGGCTCTGATTCAAAAGTGGATTATAAATTGTCTATTAAAGGCAGAATGATTATGAAAAAAAGGAAGGGAGAGGAGAGAAAGATACAGGATAGGGTATGGGAGCGACAGAAGGGAAGAAGTTTAGTAAATCCAAATCGTATTTATTTGGTGCCATGGTGAAGCTCGAGAGTTAGTTTACATTTAAAAGGAGTGAGGGATGGTAAAGTAGTGCTGGAAGGGATAAAAGAGGCTGGGTAGAAGGAAGGGAGGCAGGCAGGAAGGATTGAACTAATCAGCCAAACTAATGGTAGAAAACTTCGAAGTAAGGAAAGTTTGAAGGAAGGAAGATGATTATAGGCAATACAGCAAGAAAAAAAGAGGCAGCCTGAGGAGGATAGATGTAAAATGGTTTACAGAAATAAAAGAACCTACAGGGAGTGTTGAGGACTGAGTAGAGAGAGAGGGAAAGATGGAGTGAAGACTCAATAAAAGAAAAAGAGTAAGAAGAAGAAAACAAAAGAAAAAAGAAAAAAAATAATACATATATGCTTTTAATACCTGAGAGGAGCAAAATAGAAAAAAAGCCTGATGAATTTTCTCACCTCACTGTCATATTCATTTTGCCTTTTTTCCAATCATTAATCACCTATAGTTTCAATAATGCTTAGAAAATATCATTAACATACAGAATCACCCAGGTTGGTTTCAGCTCCATGTTCTAACAGCATTTTGACAAGCTCCATATCACCCTCTCTGTCATTTACAACAAAATGGAGGGGAGTCCAGTTTGTCTGCAATGTTTTACAGAAAAGAAAAATTAAACATCATCCTTCCCTCGCCATAATCACTAAGGCCACAGACTTTCACTGTTGATTTAACAGCTGATTTAACCCTTTAACCCCTAAGAGTGACCAGCATCTAATTTCTCCCTACAATATCATTCCTGAATCACATATTAATGTCATGAGGATAAAGGAAATGATCACTAACAAAAGAAACTCTAGATTGTTGGACAAATTCTCCTTGTCAGCCCCTTAGTAAATGCACAGAGATGAGTTTGAAGAATATGAATACTTATGAATGTGATCAAAAAATATTACTTATCAGACCAACCAGATAAATCTAATCAATTACTTCCTAGATAAAAAAAATAAGGGTATTATGGAAAATATTTACTCATTTGGTTGTATGAATCGGTTAGAATTACAGTCATAAACATTACTCATGCACATGGAGTGAACGTCCTGCAGTCCGCATGTTCGGTCTACATCATCATAAATTTTCATTCACAATATTGACATTGTATTCTTGAAATCAGAGGTTGCAGTTCTAAAATTCAAGATGTAAAATTGAGCTAAGATAAAATAACTTGAACAAATATCGCCAACTGACGAGCCGGAAATCAAACTGGAGCTTGTTTTGATCAGAGAAGTGTTTGAAGAAACTGTAAACAGTCGCAATTCATGTCGCATAAAACGCGTGACTGAAATCGACCATAGAATAAATAATGCCATTCTAGATCCTGATACTTTCTCTTTAACCCCAAACTAGATGTAATTCGAATAACTATAGCAATTGAAATACGCAAGTAAGCTTACAATGGCAACTGCTATCGTAAAATCGAAAATGAAAATACGGGAATTTTCCCGGAAACCGAAATCTGACCTCGACGACTTCAAAACCTAAAATGAATAATTTATATTTACGTATGGTGTAACAATTTGCAAGTCAGTTTTCCTTCTGAATTCAAAACCTAGCAAACTACAAAGTAAAAAGCCAAACTAAACGTCCCTAACGAATCTATTTGAATTTGCATTGTGTTATATTTAGTGTAATACTGGTTTTAAAACTAATTGACGGGTTGATGAACGATGCGAAAATGCTCATGAGAAACTCACAATTACAAAGTCCGTTGACCGAAGAGTGTGTTTACAGCGAAGAAATGCCGGATTTTTGTCATATCCACATGTCTCATCTTCTCATATGTCAAGCTTTGGTATTGTCGAAATCTGTGTATGGTTGAAAAGTAGAGGAACAAAATTGCACAGTAGAATCAAAATTATTTTGAAGACTCAGATGGATTTTGTCTTGAAACAATCATGTCTGACTACTAAATGTCGACCAGTCGCCATAAAATAGCCACTTTAGTCGCGGTTTTAACAGGGGAGTAGAGGTTTTTGTTATATACAACATTTAAGGTAAAAATCTTAAATACTAGACAGTAGATACTATTAAGAATCCTCACAATATGTGCAGTGTACCTGCGTTTTATCGGGATCTCGGAAGTTCGGAGGCGCTCCGTTTCTGAGGAGCTCGTTAACTCTTTCTTTGTCATTAGGATTATTTCGGAGAGCCTTCCAAAGCTCTTTCCCTTTGCGAACCATATCTCCGGAATTTACTTCTTCCGTTCTCGTTGCCATTTTGGTAGGAAAACCGCAAAAATTTGTAGTAAACCCGTCACAACAGCTACCTAAAACAGAGTCTATTTTCGTACAGCGTGTGGTCAAGAGCCTGTGACAACAATTGGTCACATGGTCATGGAGAAAAAAAGCATCAAACTCAAAATAGATCTGTCAATAACATTTAATTTTGGAAAAAAAATTTTCTGTTCATTTGCAATACGCAGATACCGAATAACTTTCTAATTCTTTGTTGGACATCGACTAATTGCCTATTTTTCCTGTTTAGCAACTCCAGAAACCGCAGTAGCTCGAAATTCTTTACATTTAGTAAAAGAACAGCTCAAAGAAAATGAAGCAATTTGGCTTGCAATAATTCTCATTTCTCTTAATAACAGAAAATCGTGAAAATGTTTCAATTCACGACTGCCGAATACCATTCCTAAATTTTCAGTTCAGCATATCAATATTTGTTGTAATGTAGTTGCCATTTCCTGCAAGACTGTCGTGACTTTTAATCGAGCAGCGACAAGCGCGAGGCAAACGCGAGGTGAACGCGTGGAGCCAGTCACGCACTTCCTGTTGAAACTTTACCTTATCTCAGTCTTGATTTGGTTCTTGTTTTTATTTTCAGTATTTTGTACGACTCAATTTCATTTCTCTGCCTTTGAAACTTGAAACTCTTCAAAGTAGACTATGCATGCGTAGGAATGAAAGTTTGAAAGAAATAAAATGGAAAAAAAAGGAAAAATTCACACGTTTTTCAGATCGACGTCAACACCACTAACGCACAGTTAAAAACATGAACAATAAATTATCGGTATTGTTATGACTGCAAAATTTACAGTTTGTTAATACAAACTGGTTTATTAGGACATATTAATAATGTATTACGTCGACACAAGTAATGAAAATGGAAAATACACTTTGTCTTGAAAAATGGAAGTTTTCGTTGACTCTTTTGCTCTATGAGGCAATACGTGAAAAACTCTTTTGTCGTGTTATTTTTCAATTTTTTCCTTTTTTTTTTCTAACGTTTGGTTCACTGCGGGAAATTAACAGACTCGATTATACAAGGGCTTGCCATACAAATGGTGAAAGGCATAGTTGTTTGAAGATTGCACCACAATCGAACTTTTATTATGGAGTTACCGCTTAATGCAGGTTGACCGCTTAAGACAGGTATAAAAAACGATGAAAACTCATGTTATGCTATATTTAAAATCGTAATGTACAAAAAATTTTTCAAAAATACTCTGAGCATCAATTTCGGGAGATAAGCTCAATTAAATTTAACTTGAAAGATAATTATTAGTTTTATTTCAGTGGTCGCAATTTAAGTAGCCGTTTAATTCAGATGAAGACAGTACAAACCGATCGTCGGGACCCAGTCAAGGATGACCGCTACCGCTTAGTAGAGGGGACCGCTCAACGAGGGTGAAAACTAAAGTAATTTATTATAAAGTTCGGATATAACGCGCGCTGCTATTGGTTGAAAGAACGTGCTCTATCATAGTACAAAGCATAGAGCTGAGCTAAAGCTGTCACGCCATCTGCCAAATTGTACTGCTTAATAGAGGCGACCGCTCAATAAATGTGAAAACTGCAGTGATTAATAATGATAAAGTTCGGATGTAATGTGCGCTGCCATTGGTTTAAGAAACGTGCTTTATCAGAGTACAAAGCAAAGAGCTGAGCTAAAGCTGTCACGCCACCCGCCAAATTGTGCTATGTCCGACTTTTTCCGGGACTTCTCTCTAGCTTTTTTTTCGTTAATTGAAATGTCCGAATAAGCGAGCCAGCAAGTAGCAACAGAAGAACCAAACAAAGGTTTGCAAGCATGCCAAGCACCGTAAATTGACGTTATTATAACGTGAGCAGACACGGAAATCCTCAAAGAGAAAACACAATGGACAGTCAGAGTTTTGAAGGTTTTTACGCTCAATTAGATTGCCAGATTACGAACGGTAATGAAAATCAAACACTGCTAACGCTCTTATAGTATAGATTGTTTCGTGTTCAAAAACAGAACAGAACAAAACAGGAAATTATGAAAAATATAGCAAATTAGCATAACCATTGAAATTCACACTAATCGTGACAGTGTCAGACCGACTGCGGCCATGCTGAGGTCCATCGCGGATAGCTCATCATCGCGATTTCCAGTCATTGCATTGAACAAAGCCGCTGAAATTACATCGGCCGCCCTTCGAGTGAATAACTAATAGCTTGCTCTGATATCTTTTCTGATGCGTCGAGTGGAAGGCCACATCAGGCGAGTTTTACGGCGCTATCATCCCAGGCAATCTTCATGTTCTGGTGAATTCGGCTGTCGTTCATTCATAGAACACACGCCTTGAGCAGTTTGTTTTCTATCTGTCATGTGAAAAGCCTTGCGTGCCTTTATGGGCCACATTCGGCCGGATTTCACCGAACATTTTATTTTCAGATTCTGTATTAGAGACTAAAAAACCTTCAGGCAAAAGTACTATATTCGACCTGCCGAACTATTTCGGTTTGTAAACTATTTCAGATTGTGAACTTTGATGTTTGTGAATTTACATGGTTTGATATTTTGACAGTTTTAGTCCTGTTCAATCAATCAGATTATTTGAATCATTCTAAACTGGATTCTGACTGGCTTATTGTGGTGTTTTTTATGAGAGTATATTTGAAAATAAAGTTTGTTTTGAAAATTGAAAGTAATGCGTGGGGAATTTAATGGCTTCTTTATTATAAAGCAAATAGATAAGCCTTGACTTTGCTCTGTTCTGTTGTAGAGCACTTAGGAAGTGGCTAGAGCACTCAAGAAGTGGGGAGAAAGACGAGAGGTAGTCGAGTGTTTCTCTCCACTTCTTCTTTCTTTTGCCAAAGACAGCCCAAGCTCCAGCTGTGAGAAGACCATCTTGCGAAATATGAGTTATGGTGTAATTATAAGAGTTTGTATGGGAATATAGGGAGTTTGACCGTATTTTTTTTATTCCTAGGAGCGGTCGTAAATATTCCCATACAAACTCTTTTAATTTCGCCACGACTCTTATTTCGCAAGATGATCATCTCACAGCTGGAGCTTGGGCCGCCTGTGTTTCGGCTAAGGTTTTGACTCCGGTTATGGAACAAAAGCATTTCAATTTTGAATCCTGATTTTTTGTGAAACTCAAATCCGGAACACAGTTTGAAGCCTTTATGAACAAATAAAAAGGTTGAATACCGATTATAAAGGTTGAAAGGTGATGAGTCACATCTCGGAAGTGTCGTCATAATTGAAATTTTCATCCCAGTAAATAATAATGTATAACAGTATTCTTTTTTTTTTCTCCTTTTATTTATTTTCTGACAGAGCTACGTGGATGAAAGACTTCTTTTGCACTGGTTTTTTTCGCTGATTTAAGAGACATTTTTCCAGTTCGGAGATCTTCTTTTCCTTTTCATCGGAGGTTTAAAGCACGTTATGTAGATTGGTCTAAGGTCGATGACAACAATCGAACGCAGATGAAAATATCTGATTCCCACTGAGAATCAAGAATAAACCTGAAATAAATATTTGTTTTCCACACAATGTGCATTGTCTATGTGGTACCTTTTTAACCACAATGTAGATTGCGAACATCAACAGCTGTTGAAAGTACGAAGAACTCTCCATTTCCACCAAAATAATTTAAACTGGAACCTAAGATCGCCTAAAGAAACTCAAGCAGGCTTGTCGATCATATCTTGGGACCAACACGATGGTAAAAATTTTGAAAATATCACCCTTTCATCAAATTTTATTCTCTCTTTTTATAAAGATAGATAAAGATTGCTTTAAGACCTGTAATTTGGAATCTATTTACAGACTCGATTCTTTGGTTTGTTCTTCTGTTTGAGTGTCCTATCAAGAGGTTAGTCTGTTTACGAATGTTTCCTGTTTATCATGCATTTCCATGAGTATCTCGAATGACTCTGTACCTTCACGCAGAATGCTAATTTAATATTATATTTTTGTGCATAAACTCACCGTAAAATCACAATTATTGATCATAAACAATAAGATCCAAAGCAAAAAACTTGAACTTTCTTTTGAGCTTTTCTCTGGAGCTTTTTGCTTTCGCTATTCAGGTTAGATTAAAAAATTTTTTGTTTTCGGCATTTACTAGACGCCTAGTATGCCTTAAAATTTTTCTTTTTTTAAATATTGATTCATTAACGCCTTACAGTCCTAGCCATGTGCACCAACCATACTGCCATACTGTGAAGTTTTGATGCGAGTTCCATTTTAAGCTTTATCATCACAATTTCTCTAACTTACCAGAAGTTATCTTGTTAGTGTCTATGCAATATCCCTAAAATGACTAAGACAATACCAGTGCCCTGATTGGCCAAAACCTACCATTTATTGCACTGGTACACCCATAATTGTTTCATAAAAGTAATAAATTGCCATTCTATAGGTTTACAGGGGTGAAACTGTGAACCCAATTGGGATGTTGAGGGAACACGCAAAAAGTTCCTTACTTACTCGTCTCCGGCTCGTAATTACAAAATTTTCTTATGTTTACCCAACATCCCGCGTGGATATTACGCAGAAAGAAAGTTCAGTCTATTATTTAAGACATCTGCTCTTATAGTGCTTCTCTTTTTTTGGTTTGTTATTTTTCCCGCTGAAGCCGTTTGGGGCTGGAATGATCCTGTAGCTATGTACCCACTTCAAGGTACGGAAAACGACACAAGTCGCTGTGATAATGGAGACGCCCAATACTTTGACGATGGGAAGACGTTATCCTGGCCAATAAGGGCACCGGGTTTCCCTGTGAATAAACGGACAAGAGTTATTCGGATAACGAATAATGATGGAAACTTTAAGTTGAAGGATCTGACAATGATAATCCATTTTAGAGCAGCTGACCTCGGTATGAGGACACTTGCCCAATTTGTTGCACATGACAAACCAATTCTCCTACTTTCATTAGACGACCGCGACCTCCATTTTTCACTGTACTCAAAATGTGAAAACAATATGCGAATTAAGAAGCTGAAGTTAGCGACGAGCATGAAAATAAAAAACTGGACATTTGCAGCAGTTACCTACAATCAAACATCAGGATATGCCACGCTTTACGCAAGCGATGGCTCTACCCATAGTGCGCACTGGGGTTATGTGAATATACAGGAGCCACAAGTTATATATTTGGGTAATAACATTAAATTTATGAGTGAAGCTTCTGATCAAGATGAACAGGAGATACCTGAGAATTTTTCTGGAAAAATGAGGTGCTTCATTCTCTACCGCCGGGCTCTTGACTTTTCTCAAATAACTAAAGTGGAGAGTTTTTGCCGCAAGATAGCGTTGAAAGGTAACGATACTGATGATGACGAAAGCCATGCTGATGATAGAATAGGTATTTGCAAGCTATTAATTAGATATTAATTTTGCAGATTTAGGGGCAGATGATTTTATTATTCATTTTGTGCATTCTACGCGTTGTCCAAAAACGCCTTGAACCTTCCTTTGAAATGCTATTCTCAGCACTTACCTGACTAATTTCCAGGTGGTGTAATTAAGTAGATCGGATATTCATTCAAATTCCTTGAAACATACAGTGTTGTGTTATAGTGTTCGTGCAAGCACCATAGGAGACAATTTTTCACTCTCATTACAGAGACGTATAAAGTCACTCCGCCGTATTCCTTATTTTGCACCTTGAATATCTCTTTAATAAAAAAAGACGAACA